TCCTTGCTTCATGGTGTTCCAATGAAGCAAGGAATTTCTGCAGCTGGAGGTCTTCTTGGCAAAGATATCACTCCTTCAGGCTTGTTAAAAGTCATGTCCAGAAATTGAGAGGTGTGGGCCTCCTCACGATCCCCTGGTTTACACCCACATCAGGTGACACAGATCCCAAACACCTCGCTTCAGTACCATCCAAAACCATAACATCCCCTGCAGTGTCTCAGAGTCAGATCAACGAGCTCAATATTGACTCACTTGTTCATTGGGTAAGGTCTTTCCTCAGATTGTAGAGACCTTCTAAGGATAAAGATTCATTCTGTAATTTTTATATTTATTATAAATGTTACTGGCTTTAAGCAATGTAAGAATCAATAACTGCAGAGTAGTTGCAGCAAAAGAGGATGGGGAACATGCCTTTACAGTAAAGTGTTTAAAGTACCTGCAGGCTCCCAAAAGTCATTTTTTCATCAAAGGGAAAAGTTAATTCAGGTTTTGAGGGCAGGCCTTTCCTTTTTCTATCAGAAGACAACTTATAAGAGGGGAGGAAGTTCAAAAGTGTTAAAGCTGTTCAAGGCAGCTCAGCCATAGAGGCTGAGAAAAGAGTGGTCTCTGAGGAACACCTTTTAAGACTTTAAAACAGCACCTTATGTGAAGTAAAGAGTCATTTGTACTGAAAAACTATTTACTAACTTATTTCCTCACCTCCCAGAGGAGAAACTCCTGTTACCTTTTTTTTTCCCCCTCTCTGAAGAGTGTGTTGCTCTAAACTGATTCTCCTCCCCTATGGGTATCCATCCAAGACCTCTGCAGAGGCATTAACATCTTCAGGGCACAAGTCTTGGCACAGGTTGCTGAGTCTAGCCTGTGGTCTATATAACTCCTGTGGTATGAAGCTTGGGTGGTTCAAGCTTCATTTTCAAGTAAGTGAGGTGGGAATTTTCTTTTGTGCTGTACAGATTAGAAAACGTTTCCAGAAACTCAGTGCTGTGGTACTGATTCCTTAGGGTTTTCATGAGCAATCACAAGTAGGGAAGACAGGTCAGATGTGGCAGTGAAGAATACTGTGAAAACTAATTTTCCCTACATCATCATACTTTTAACCATGTCCCTACTTGCATTGCAGCTCTCTGTTCCACTGCTTGTTAAAAAACAATAATTGAAATCCAGGCCTTCATGAACTCCAAATGTGCAAGATCCGCCACATTTGTGTGATCACATGAAGTGGATTGAGGAAGAAAGAGACCAGGTTAATTGCCATAAGAGCCTGAATGAGAGATGTGGGACTTCAGGTGACTCTTCAAAATGCAGTTTATTGTATCCAAGATGTTACAGCAGTCCAGGGTTATGGGTGACAGAGACCGCACCTACAGATGCCAGCTCCAGCCGTAGACAAGACTGAAGACCCCTTAGTTTTCGTTACATTGCATTATACACTTTTCTTTGCTGAGCATCTTAATACAGAAGAACCAGTCTATATCTTAACTTTTACCTATAGCCTGTCATAACTACTATAATTACCATATTCATGTTACAATCCTCCAGTCACTAAGTTAGCATGTTACAGTTCAAGCTAGAGGCTGTTTTTCAGCTTTCTTGCAGTGGAAAATTCTGAGACCTTTTTTTCTACTTGCAGCATCAGCAGTCTTGTTTGCCTGTGGTATCTTTCTCCTTGGTAAAAATATCTTCTTGTTTGAGGTGGCTTTATCCATTGCTCTAAGCCATAAAACCCCCTTCTAACTAACATACCCTTTGCCTTCTTAGTTATCCAGCAAACTTCCCTAACCTACAGTTAAGGAAGGAAAGGAACCTACAGTTAATTTTTTTTACATTTTTAAAACAAAGACTAGACAAACAGTGAGAGATTTCAGAGATGCCCTTACTTTCATCAGAGCAAAGTAGGTATAGCAGTAACATTCAAAAGGCCCATTGAAATACATCCAAGAATTCTTCCAAATCAGAAACAGCATTTCAGTGAGCATGAGCAAACTGAAGCAATAATTTCAGACAGCAAGTTATCTAAAGCAAGTTGTGGACTGCAACAAAAATGGAGAAGCTACCCTATGCTGAAGAGGTAGCATGAGATACTGGAAGTGTATTGACATGTTGTTTATCCCTCTTGAAACTCCTAAGGGATAGGTTGGGGAAGTGCTTGGATACAAAAAAATTACTAGAATTAGTTCAGTTGGTTAGATCATGGGACTTCTAATGCTAAGGTTGGGGGTTTGATCATCATATGGGCCATTCACTTCAGAGTTTGACTCAATGATCCTTGTGGGTCCTTCCAATTCAGAATATTCTGTTATGTTGTGATTCCAGAGATAAAGTCTGTGTAGTGTTGCTTCAGCCATAGGTGGTTGCAAGGGTATGTACGTAGTGCTATCTGCCCTACCAAACTACCAACTTGCTCATCACCTGTGTAAGTCTGAACAACAGATGTTTCTGACAGGCATGTGGATTTTGCTCATCTGAGATCCCCTCTGCTTTAAAGACATGGCTAATCCACCAGGAGGTGGCTTACTGCTTGTATCCATCAAATGGCAGTCATGATTGTCAAGCTCTATAAATGGAGTGAAACCAAATGGTGCCATTTTGTTGCCTACAACTTGTTGCCTCAATGCAGCAATGAATGTGAGAACTGAATTACTTGGCCTGTAAACTTTGTCTTCTTGGAAGTTACTCTCTCACCATGAGGTGAGCCATAAGTTTAAGGACAAAGGAAGCAATATGATATGTATTCATGTCAGATATGTATGGCACAAATTCATATTGTTTTACAGTCACTATCTTGGAGTTTGCTATCTTGATGACATCTATCACAAAATCACACCACCAGGACTGACACAAGAAAGGAAATCCCAAACTTGAGCCCAAACCTAGTGCTACTAATATTCTGCATTCCCATTTCTCCCTGTTACTTCATCTGTACCTTAAAATCAAATGTGGGGAAAAAAAGACAATATATTTTGTAACTACTCACCATCAAAAGCCAGTGATGTGTGCAACATGCTAACAGTCCAGTGGTGGGCATCGTTGTAATGGAAAGTAGCAGAAGCAGTGAAGAATAGCACTGTGTTCTGTTATCACTACAGCAGGAATGTAAGAAGATAATATGCCCCAATCTTTTGTCAGAAAATGGCTTGCTATGACTGCTTGTGCAGTTCTTTGTATCATTCAAAAGAGGTTCTTAGAGCAAACATACTGACTTGTCCTTTGTAATCCACAAGGGGAAAAAGGATGACCTAGAGAATTATTCATGTTTTTACCTCCCATAAGTCTCTTTTCTTTAATGTGTACCAACTTTACTCAGCTGCTTTCTGGTTATATTTGAGAATGTTATTCATCTGCAGAGATCTAGAAATGGTTAACAATTGCAGCAGCACTCTAACTGGGTAACTCCTTAAGCACTACTCCTAGGAAAGGATTGAAACTGCTTAGAGTGATGGCTGATACAATTTGGCAATGGGAAGGATAACATTCATTATACAGAGAGCTTTCTGAAAAGCAACATCAAGTATTTCAGAGACCTGCCTTGGACCTAGCACCACAGACATATTGTTGAATATTATTGCAAAGAAGAGGTGACTTCTCCAAGTCACAGGATACCTGACTGTCTGAGATGCTAATTCTTTTGCTGCAGGCTCTAATTCTCAAAAGACAGCTTTTGCAATATGCAGAAAAATGTGTTTTAAGGCTGAGACAATATTTTTGACAGTTATTTTCCCTATGCTCTGATGGCTTTGGCTGAAAGCACCACATCAATAAAATTAATTAAAGAGAAGCATGCAGATATTTTGGCAGAGTTTGAGAGATGACTGTTTGGGCTGGTGCAATGAAATAAATCCCTGTTCTTCCTTGTTCTCAGGGTTCTCAGAACCCTGCAGGTGTAGAGAGGCATGTCCCTGGGGGCCAGTATGGGGATGCTTCAGGGGAGCCAGAGGCAGGAATCCTACTGCAAAACTGAATTTAACCTCCACTGTGCAAACCTCTTATTTAAGACACTGGAACATCTGTGACTAATGTGTTGGACTTGATTTCTCTTCAGTGTACTGATTTATCTTCTGAGCATTTTCAAGCACTGGCACTTTACTGATTTGTTTATTTTAAAAGTGGATTTTGCCCCTGTTGAAGCCTTACAGCCCCTGCTTTGTGTGTGTCTCTTAGGAGAGCATACTGACTGCAATGAAGTAGATAACTGTTTGCCAGAAGTGAGTGGCTCACTTTCTGTTATTTCCCCTTTTCTATTGTTTTAGTCAATGATTTTTCTTGTTTGGGCTTTTAATCAAACTTAGTCTTTCTCCAATAACCTGTTCTCTCTCATGTGTCTGTGGATGTGCATGCACATGAGAGAGAGGAAAGCAAAGAGGGAGGCAGAGAGGGAAACTGTTCTTGGGCTGTGTTGACAGATTAATTCTTCCTCAGCTGTCAGGTTTCAAGCCTGTCGGCAGCGCTGCTGGTAAGTGGGAACAAATATGGCTAGGGAGGGAGGGTGAGGCCCCGGTGGGGGCTAGACTGAAAGGTGTGTACTGCCTCTTGCACAGCGACAGGCAGCATGGCAGGGCAGAGCTGCAGCCTTGGGGATGCCTGCAGCTGTCAGACTCCCCAGAGCAGCCCCTGCACACGCAGCTCACTTGTCAGCAAGGGATTTTCCTCCCCTCCTCCCCTGATAAAGATCTCTCAGCTGCTATTATGGGTTGTATCCTTGGCTTATTGTAAAAGAAAAACAAAACAAAAAACAAAGGAAAAAATCTGAGTGGTTTTGCAATCTGGAGATGAGCCTTTGATCCTCTCACTCAGCCTGAGGATGGTGGCATGCTGGCACAACTGCCCCCATTGTACACCTGAGCTCTCCAGGGCTGCCCACACCGTTCCATTTGCAGGGATGGGAGAGAAGTGTGTGCCAGAAGAATTAACTGCTCCCCACCAGCGTTAAAGGTGGAGAGTGTGCGTGTGTGGAGGCAGCAGTTGTCCTTGCAGAGCTTTAAACAAAGTAGTAGACTGCAGCTATGGAGTCACCAACTAAAGAAATTGAAGAATTTGAGAACAACTCTCTGAAATACCTACAGCCAGAGCAAATAGAGAAAATCTGGCTTCGTCTCCGAGGCTTGTAAGTAGTACTTTTCTTTTAATCTCCTCCAATTTCCTCCCACTGTCAAAATTATTGTAGCACTTTTCTTTCTTGCTGTATCTTCAAAATCTCCATAAGTTTCCACACCTTTCCTCCATAAATAAAGTTACTTTATCTTAGCAAAAGATCAATTTACTTCTTTAAATTGAACTGCTTCTTACATTGAACACTTTCATGTGGAAATGTAGACATTCCATTAATGAAGCATTTTAAGATCTAAGCAGTTACTTGAATGCTAATTACTTCAGGTGTTATACTAGAAAAGTTTTGTTATAGTCTGAATGATACTTAATTGAATCCTCCCTTTTCAATAATCTTACCCTTAGCTGCAGTGTAATGTATACTGTAATGTACACCATTTCTAGCACTGGCACAATGATACGGATAAAATAGGCAGAGAAGACACAACTGGAAAACATTTCCAATAGCATTTGTAACAGCAGTAAATTCATCTTCCACTGATTTGATTGTACTTATTAATTTATGTGTTAAGCCTGACTTGCTATGAGATAACTGTATACTGCCTCCTGAGCAGAAAAACATATCTGTACTTCAAGAACTTGACACTGCAGAAAAGAAAAAGCTATAGTGTCTGCCTAGCTTATTTAGAAACAATGTCTGGTGTTTTTCATATTCTCAGTATGTAAAATACTGTCACCCATTTGCCCATAATTTCTTGGCGATGGCAAAGAGGAGTGTTACCATATTAAACTACAACCCTTCTGTGTTCAGAACTGTTTGTGTTTGGCTTTTTTTTTTCTTCAGCCTCACATGTTAGAGTTATTAAAATTTTGGCCTGCAAGAGAAAGACAGGGGAGAAGGGACCAAGGAGGCTTGGAAACAGCAGAAGCAAAAGAAATGAAGAAAGAGTAGGCCAGTAGTTGAAAACAAATGGCTTCAAGTTAAACTTTAGTTGCTTTTTGGGTGTTACTTTGTGTGAGCAATTATGGTATGCTTTGCAAAGCATAGCCAAGACTTTTGTAGGACTTCAAGCTATATAAGAGATATGCATTAACATGTGTTTCTTTCAAAGCATCAATCCAGGAAGCCTGTTTTGTGAAGGAACCTAATCAAAGTAGATGACAGCTGTCTTGTGAGCCCTTCTAATAGAAGACTCACGCAAAACAAACCCTCTATTAGGACTTATTGAATTTCTGTTTAATATAGAGTTTAGGAGCATGCTGATTTGGATTCTACCTGACTGAGTGGTTATTTGTGGAAACACTGAGCAGATGTGTTCCTTGTGCTTGAGGACCATGCAGGACTGGAGTGGTGCTTCCTCTTGTCACTGAGTGGCTGTTTCTGAGAATGCTGAGCACGTGTGTTCCTTGTGCTTGAGGGTCACAAGGTTTGGGGCAGGGCTTCCTCCATTTCTGGGTAGTGGAGCTGATTAAAAGAGGGCTGTAGGGGGCACAGCAACCCAGGGCATGGCGACCTGAGGCAGTTCGAGCAGGCACAGTTGTAGGATTTCTTGCTAGTAAGGTTTACTGTGTGTTGTGTGCGGTGTTTCTGTTGGTAGGTCTTAGCATTTCTGGTAGTAATGGTTTGTACACGATCAAAAACTGTAGTTAGTATGAGTGTATGTAATCAGATGGATTACATAATCCAAAAAGGATGCATCTGTCCAGACCCATTCCTGTGCAGACTTGTTTATCAGTGGTTTCAGGAGGCATTGAAGAGGAAACCTGCCTGCAGTGTGAACAGGTGAATGATCTCCTTTCACTGGTGCTGAACTTAGAGAGGAAGTTGAAAGACTAAGGAGTATCAGGGAAAGTGAAAGGGAAATAGATTGTTGGAGTTCAGCCCTTCCATCCTTGAGGGAAGCCCACCAAGAGTTAGAAGACTTCAATGCCTCTCACTCGCAGACAATAGAAGGACACCTGGGAGGTGAAGAGGAGTGGAAGTGAGTACCTACTTGAGGAGGTAATAATAAAAATTCCTGCCTACCCCCACTCCCAAGCCAGGTGCCACTTCAGAATAGGTATGAACCCCTGGATTTAGAGAGTCAGCCAGATTATTTAGAAGAAAATTATCTGCACAGTGAGCCTCCAAATTATGACTCATCTGTGAGAAGGATTACCACCTCTAACATCAAAAAGGAAAGAAGAGTAATTGTGGTGGGTGATTCCCTTCTGATGGGAACAGAAGATCCCATATGTTGACTGGACCTACCCCATAGAAAAGTCTGATGCCTCCCTGGGGCCTGGGTATGGGATATTTCTGGGCTCATTTAGCCCTCTGATTACTACCCACTGCTGATACTCCAGGTTGGCAGTGATGAGATTGAAAAGAGGAGTGTCAGGGCAGTTAAAAGGGACTTTAGGGCACTGGGACAAGTCATTGATAAGGCAGGTGTACAGGTAGTCTTTTCCTCAGTCCCTCTGGTGGCTGAGAAAAATGGTGAAAGGAATAATATCAATAAGTGGCTCAAGGTGTGGTGCAATTGGCAGAATATTGGATTCTTTTATCATGGGGCAACTTTTACGGCACCTAGCCTCCTGGAACCAGATGAGCTTCATCTCTCTGTTAAGGGTAAAAGGTTTTTATCTTGTGAACTGGCCAAATGTTTTGAGAGGGCTTTAAACTAGGTCTGAAGGGGGAAGGGGATGTAGCTGGGCTCTCTGGCAGCAGGCAGATGGCACCCAGAACTGAATGCAGTCCTCAAGAACCAGTGCTGAGTACTGGGGGATGATCATTTCCCTAGTCCTGCTGGCTACTCTATTCTTGATTCAGGCCACCTATCATTTACATGCCATATACCTCCTTGGCCATCTGGGCACACTCCTGGCTTGTATTGAGCCAGATATCAACAACACTCCTTTCTGCTGAACAGCGCTTGAGCTACTTCTTCTCAGGCTTGTAAGGCTGTATGGCTGTGACCCCAGTGCAGAACCCAGAACTTCACCTTACTGAACCTCATGCTGCTGTTCTCAGCCCATACAGTAGGGTGTGTAATTTACATAGCAGATCACTAACCACCTCCTCCTGGGTTATAGGGGCTACACTCATCTCCCAACCACCAACTTCCAGCTCAGGGAGCTGGGTACCCTGAGAGCAACCGCTTTGATACTGAAGACTGAGGTAAAAAAAGGCATTAAGTGTGTCTGCCTTTCCCCTGTCACATTCAGCAAATGGAGGCACTCTTTGAACTTCTGTTTGCTGCCAATGTATTTGTTGTTTTTAACTGTAGTGGCCAAATCAAGGCCTAATTGGCCTTTGGCCCATCTAGTCTCCTTCCAACATGACCTGCAACATCCCTGTAGTCCTCCCAAAATACCTCACCCTCCTTCCAGAGGTGATATGACATATGTTCTCTGTTTAACCAGGGTGGTCTTTTTCCCTGACAACGTATCTTTATACACATGGGAACAATCTCCTCCTGAATATTTAACAATCCATTTTAAAGCACATACCGCATTCCTGGACTCCTTTGCCCTTCAGGACTCATAAATCTCTGTCAATCTATATCCAGGTCTCATGAGACCTCACCTGGTATACAGCATCCAGTTCTAGGGCCCCTAATATCAGAAGGACATACACTGCTGGAGCACCAGAGGAAGCCAGAGGGATGGAGCATGTCTCCTTTGAAGGCAGGCTGAGAGAGTTGGGGTTATTCAGCCTGAAGAAGAGAAGGCTTCAGGGGAACCTTATAGCAGCCTTCCAGTACATCTACAGGAAAGCTGGAGAGGGACTTTTTACAAGGGCACGTAACGATGGGACAAGGAGTAATGGCTTTAAACTTTTAGAGAGAATGTTTAGTTACAAGGAAGAAATTTTTCTCCATGAGAATGGTGAAGCAGTGGAATAGACAAGTTGTGGATACACTATCCCTGCAAGTGTTCAAGGTCAGGATGGACAGTACTTTGAATACTTGGTCTAGTGAAACATCTCCCTGCCCATGGCAGGGAAGTTGGACCAGATGATCTTTAAAGTCTTTCAACCCAAACCATTCTGTGATTACAAACAGCAATCTCTGAATTGTGACATGAATGGGATGCTTGAAATTGAACTCACTAAGAAATTTGATGGGCAGATAAGGTATAGAGACACATAAAGCAGTGCCTTTGAAAACTTCAGCTTTTGCTGAAAATCTGGAACAATATTCAGCATTTATGGCATATCCATAGCTTCCTCTGCAAAGCACTCTTGCATCCTGTCAACAGTGAAGAGGTCCCAGTGATGAATCTTGCATAAGACCAACATTTTCTTGAAGTAAATGATGAAGAAGCAACTGATTTCATTGGAAAAAGATGAGCTTTGGCAACTGAAAATGATCTGGCAAGTGTTAGAATGCCACTGCTGAGTTACCTGTTTCCCTGTCTTATCTGTATGTGCTTTACAATATTTTTAGAATTTCTTGGTTGAAAAATGTCACATAGGGAACAGCTGGTTCTACTTGTGACAGTATATTGATCTGATTAAATTTTATTTATGTGGCCATCATAAACAGGAAAACAGAGAACTCTTTAATTCCAGAAGCACACTCTACATTATGGACTTCGTCCCTTAATATTTTAGCTCATAGAAAACATTAAGGTTTAAAAAAGTCCATCAGAAAAGACCACTTTGTTAGGAAGTGTGCAAATAAATTGGCTTTCAAGTGGAAAATAAGCATATGCTAATTATTTTCTGGGGGTGAGAGAGTCCCAAAGGCTTCCTTTGGCCTTGGTTTCAGTCCTCCTGAAGGTTCTGAGTTTCTAAGTTTAAACTGAAGCCCTATTTGCCTTGAGAGCAGAACAGAGTTACTTTCAATCACATTTAAATGCAGCTGCTGCCACCCTTTTTCCTCATTTGGCTTTCTTGATGGACATAGAGGGGAAATATATGTCAAAGAACCATGTTAGAAAACCTCTCTGTAGACATCTTAGGTCCATGTTTCACTTTCATTACGGTTGTCAGTTCACAGAAGGATTAGGGAAGTCTCATTTGTCAGCAAGTGGATATTTGGTATGTACTAAACGCAACAGTGCAGCTTAGAA